TTTCTGGATTTGTTTCAGCTTTTGTCTTCTCCAGATGTTAACTGCTGGACTGGAGTGCTGTGGATTACTTGTGGATTATTGTGATGTTTTTATCAGCTGTTTGGACTCTCATTCTGACGGCACCCATTCACTGCAGAGCATCCATTGCTGAGCAAGTGATGCAATGCTACATTTCTCCAAATCTGATGAAGAAACACACTCATCTACATCTTGGATGGCCTGAGGATGAGGATGTTTTAGTTTTCATTTTTTGGTTGAACTATTCCTTTAATGGTCTAAAATACTCCACAATAATTCTCCACAGCTTCGCATTATGCCTACATAAATCAGACAAACAAAAGGAGCAGCAGTTTTCCTCAGCTTTTCAGAGGACTGTCGTGCGATGTCTCTAGGGTTGGCTGTACCTGCGAAAGCGCGCGCCTCGTCGGTGGGAACGGCTCTCAGGTGGCGCAGGTCGCTCTTGTTCCCCACCAGCATGATGACGATGTTGTTGTCGGCGTGATCTCGCAGCTCTTTCAGCCAGCGCTCCACGTTCTCATAGGTCAGATGTTTGGCGATGTCGTACACCAGCAGCGCGCCGACCGCGCCACGATAATACCTGCACACGTCAGAAAACCATAACCACAGTTTGAGCCAAAATATCAAACGTCACTATTTCTATTGCTCACAGTTTTAGTTCAGTTTTATTTATTTCATTTAGTTAGAAAATAAATGTAACTTTATTGTTCATTTTATTTCATTTTAGCAATGTTGCCTTGGCAACAATTTTTGTTTAGGTGTTGTTTTTCATGTAATATTTATATTTTAAAAAAATAATAAATGTTTTTAATAGTTTTACTTTTATTAAATAAATTGTACTTTATTTTTTATTTTCTTTAATTTTAGCAGTGTTGCCTTGGCAACCTTTTTCAGTTTGTTCACTGCTTTTTTGTTTAATTTTAGTTTTTAGCTAACATTTATATTTTAAAAACATGTTTTTAATAGTTTTTCTTTTAGTTAGCAATAATAACCATGCTCTCACTATCACTATTACTTATAGTTAGAGTTCAGATTTAGTTTTTATTTTATTTATTTAGTTAATACATTTTATTAAAAAAAAATTTTTTATTTAGTTAGTAATTTTAGCAGTGTTGCCTTGGAAACTTATTTCAGGTGGTTGCCAAGGCAACATTCAATTTTTCATTTGTTTTTTTCCATGTAATATTCATATTTTAACAAATTAACAAAAATGTTTTTAATAGTTTTAGTTTACAATTATAACCCTGCTTTCACCATCACTATTGCTCATAGTTTTAGCTGTAGTTCAGTTTTACTTTTTATGTAATTTAGTTAGTAAATAAATTGTATTTTATCTTTTATTTTATTTAATTTGAGCAATGCTGACTTGGCAAATTATTTCAATTAGTTGCTTATTTTCATTTAGTTTTAGTTTTTATTTCATTTACTTAGTAAATACATTTAATTAAAAAATTTATTTAGTTAATAATTTTAGTTTAGTTTATTTAGTTTAGTTGTAGTTTTTCATCTAATATTTATGTTTTAACAAATTAACAAAAATGACTATTGCTCATAGTTAGAGGTTTGATCACATCGCCAACACTAATAAAAAATACAATGGCTGAAAGATGAAAATAAAACGATACAAAATATAAAAATAAAACAGTTTAATGGCTGAGGTGAAGGATGCAAATGTTATTTTAGGAATAGGGGAACCAAAACCACATCTGTTCACTTATCAACAGCCACAAATGCAAATTATTTTGTGGCATATTTGTTACGTTTTAACTTATATATAGGCCTACTTGTTTCTTTATCTTTTCTTGCATAAGAATTACTAAGAAAAAGTAGAACCAGGGTTAGTTATTATAGTTCACTAAAACTAAAACCATAAAAAGTCATTACTTGAAACAAAATAAACTTTAACTGAAATATAATAAAATACAAAGAAACTTAAATTAATTTTATTTCAGCTCAATTTTAATCAGCAACATTTTTCATTTTCGTTTAGTTTAACTTGGTGTACAAAAATAACAAAACCTAAAATTTGCACTAAAAATAAAAACTTGAAATGACAAATAAAAATGACAAAAATACACAACAAAATTACTAAAACTTTCAAATCAAAATTTAAAATTTTTAAATATTTTTTTTTACAAATTCTATTTCAAAATATTAATCAAAAAAATAGCACTGGGTAGAACTGTGGTATTCTTTGAAGTACTGTGTAAATAACGCAGTACTAAATGGTAATCACTCAGTACAGTAGATATGGTTGTATTTGCCATCTAAAGCATGACTGTACTCACGCAGAGGTGATGGCCCTGTACCGCTCCTGCCCTGCCGTATCCCAGATCTGCGCTTTGATCGTCTTGCCGTCCACCTGGATGCTCCTGGTGGCGAACTCCACTCCTATCGTGCTCTTGCTCTCCAGATTGAACTCGTTCCGTGTGAAACGCGACAGCAGGTTACTCTTCCCGACGCCCGAATCTCCGATGAGAACAACTGAGAGCAGCATTTCATTTGTGTTCAGTAAGACTTTTTTTTTTTTAAATAAATTAATACTTTTAAATATCAAGGATGCATTACATTGCTCAAAAGTGACAGTAAAGACATATATAATGTTATAAAAGATTTCTACTTCAAATAAATGCAGTTCTTTTAAACTTTCTATTCATCTGTGAATCCTGAAAAATCAAATATATCACGGTTTCCACAAAAATTTGAAGCAGCACAACTGTTTTCAACATGGATAATAATCAGAAATGTTTCTTGAGCAGCAAATCAGAATATTAGAATGATTTCTGAAGATCATGTGACACTGAAGACGGGAGTAATGATGCTGAAAATACAGCTGCGCATCACAGAAATACATTACAGTTTAACAGATATTCACATTGCAAACAGCTGTTTGAAATTGTAATAATATTTCACAATTTTACTGTTTTTTTTATTAAATACGTGCAGCTTTGGTGAGCAGAAGAGACTTCTTTCAAAAACCCCAAACTTTTGAATAGTAGAGCGCATAAACATACCAAAACGGTAAATATTCTTTGAGTCAAGCCAATAATTCATTCAAAAACACCTAGCTTACACAATAATTAAAGATTTAAGCCACCAAAATATGAGGAACCACATCCTGGCGAATCTGAGACAGAGATAAAATATGAAAGGAAAACAGGTACATAATCATAATAAAAAATAGAGAGACAACGAATAGAAAAAAGATAATCACAATGTTTATGCTTTCACTGTAGCCTGCAAAAATGACATTAACCCCTATAATAATGGCTGTTCACATTATTTTGTCCTACCCCTGTATATAAATAAGAATAATGCAATATTATGCCAGTTTAATGACCAGTAAGAAAATATCAGTGGTTGGTAAATTTTCTCAATTCAGTTATCATTGACAGGTGTAACCATAAGTTCATTTTGAACTCTCGTTCTCTCTTTCTTGGTTTTGAAGGCCCATTACTCAAGATCTGATTCCCATATAAGATCTGGAATATAAATAGTTGTATGGACTACTTGTAATGTCCATTTTTGGAGTTCAACACCCCCAGTGGCCTTCCACTTTCATCATGGCTCAGACAGTCTACAAAACAACATGTTGTGTTTCACGTATAAAAGAAGGTCATTAAAGGATGGCACGGTTTTCGTTTTCCTTTAAAGCTGTGAACGCGTTTGCATTGAGTTCCTTGGGCTCAGGCTGATATCCTCACGTCATCTTACTAGGAAGTCAAGTCGAACTTTGATCCTCACATTATGCTGATTTTGTGAAAATGGAATGTCACAGATTTGCCGCGTCAGACTTTGATCAGGTGTCGTGATACAATCAGTAACGAATGTAACGAATCAGCAGCAGGACAGAACATCAGCATGTGGCCTCTTTATTATCACGCATGCTATTTTTAAATTTGCCGCGATCCTACCCAGCTAACAAAAATATGTTCTATGAATGTTGTGCTAACATTCCCATGAAGTTATTTTTCTTTTCTTTTCAGTTTTCCCAGTTTCTTAATGTATTAAGAACATTTCTTCTTTATTGTGTGAACGTTACAGAAACATTATGAGGATTTTTGAATGTTCTCTCAACATTTAAAACACCCATTTTTTAATATCTAAACAACGTTTTTTCTTAGTTATGATAACGTTAGAGGAGCATTTCATTGTATCCTTTTCATTCTGAGAATGTTACATTTGAATGTTCTCTCAACGTTTAAAACACCCATTTTTATATTTAAATAATGTTTTTCTTGGTTGAATGTGAATGTTAGCGGAACATTCCATTCTACTGTTTTGAAAACATTATAAAATGTTATTTCTGAATGTTTTTTTTTATGTGTTATTATTTCTTCTTAGATATGTGCAGTGTTGGGGGTAACGCATTACAAGTAACGCGAGTTACGTAATCAGATTACTTTTTTCAAGTAACTAGTAAAGTAACGCATTACTTTTTAATTTACAAGAAAATATCTGAGTTACTTTTTCAAATAAGTAACGCAAGTTACTTTTTTTTTTTCAAATTTATTGACTGACAGCTCTCCTGTCCCCATGTTGAGAGAAATCAGAAGATGTTAATGTAGTTCTAAAATAAATATGAATATGCATTAATTAATCTCACTCACAAAAAAAACAGAGATTCAGTATGTGCAACTCAGAATATGACGCAAACCTGCAATAATTAAATGTTAAAAAACACAAATATCCTTTATGTATTTAATCCCATTCTATTAACCAATGTCTTTGCTTCTGACCTCCGATGATCCAGTTCAACC